AAATAGTTTTACTGGTGTGTGTTTGGTAACATTTACTGTATGTATTAGTTTAATTCTATTTCTTCTTGTAGAAAAGTACAATATTGCTATTTAGAAAATTTACTTTCCTTTAAAAAATTTTAATTTTAATTTATTTTTTTATTTGATTTTTTACAAAAAAAATAACAATTAGCCAAAAAATAATGTTTTTAATAATTGCAATTAAATATCAGGGTTATTCTACAGTTGAAGTCAGAATTATTAGCCCCCCTAAATTATTAGCCCCCTGTTTATTTTTTCTCCCCAATTTCTGTTTAACAGAGAGAGGATTTTTTTCAACACATTGTTAATCCTAGTAGTTTTAATAACTCATTTCTAATAACTGCTTATTTTATCTTTGTCATGATGACAGTAAATAATATTTGACTAGATATTTTTCAAGACACTTCTACACAGCTTAAAGCGACATTTAAAGGCTTAACTAGGTTAATTAGGATAACTAGGCAGGTTAGGGAAATTAGGCAAGTTATTGTATAACGATGGTTTGTTCTGTAGACTATTGAAAAAATATCTAGCTTAAAGGGGCTAATAATTTTGTCTGTAAATGGTTTTTAAAAATTTTTGCTTTTATTCTAGCCGAAATAAAACAAATAAGACTGTCTCCAGAAGAAAAAACTCTATCAGACATACTGGGAAAATGTCCTTGCTCTGTTAAACATTGTTTGGGAAATATTTAAAAAAGAAAAAAAAAAAAAAAAAGAAAAATCAAAGGGGAACTAAAAATTCTGACTTTATCGGTATCTACTGTTAAATGTTGTGAAGTTTTATCTACTGTAAACAAACAGAACTATGATGTTTTCACATTATTTATATCTTTTATATATTTATTTTCTTCTGAAGAAAGTCTTATTTATTTGACTTTTCTTTCAACTAAAATAAAAATATTTTTTTAAATATTTTTTAAGGTCAATATTATTAGCCCCCTTGAGAAATATATTTTTTTTAATTTACGATTTTATTCAATGATTTATCAAATAAATCTGCTCAGTTAACCTAATTAATCTAGTTAAGCCTTTAAATAGCACGTATACTAGTATCTTGCAAAACATTATGTACTGTCATCAAGATAAAGACAAAAGAAAAATGTTATAAGTGTCATGTTTAAAAAATGTGTTGAACAAAAATTCTCTCCATTACAGCTTACTTGGGAAATCGTTTTAAAAGAATAACAATTTCACAGGAGAGCTAATCATTTCCACTTTAACTGTATATATATATATATATATATATATATATATATATATATACACACACACACACACACACACACACACACACACACACACACACACACACACACACATATATATATATATATATATATATATATATATATATATATATATATATATATATATATATATATATATATATAAACAAATAACTTACTATTCAGTAATTATTTCTAATGGAATAATTACAAAATGTTAACTGCAGTAAATTATATTCAGTATACTGTATATAAACATATGGAATTATACATGATATATATGAATTCGGATTCTATCAGACTGAAGTGTGGTCTCATTAGTGTTGAGCTGGAAGATTCTGCACAGGTTTGTGGTTTGGATCATGAGAGACTCTGACAGCTGGAGATGTGTCTTAATAAGCTTTAATCTCTGACAGACACACACACACACCTCTTCATTATTCATCAGCACTCATTTACAATGCAGATCAGCAGATAAGAGCAGAAAAACTTTCTATTTGGGTTGTGATGTGACAGATGGGACTTTTGAAGCTATCCCAGAATCCTCCTCTCTCTCTCTGTGAAATGTGATAAGGTTTCACATTTCTATGAGCGGATTAGTTTCTCGTGGCAGCACAATGATTGCATCGCTTTCTTATCATATTTCTTCTGATTATGAACTGGTTCTTATGTAACGTCTTCTGTATGCTTTCCTATTTTACAGTTCTAGAGTTACAGTAAACATCCTTGGCTTGTCCTTTGACAACAGTAATTGTTGCCATACTTCTTGTGGCTACTGTAAGTGTGTGTTTAAATAAGCACATTTTTCATTTTCATTTAGTTTTAAAATAACATCATTCACCATATTAATAAAAAACATTGTTGCAACATTGTTACAACAATGCCTCATTTGTTAACATGTTAGTTTGTTAGAGTTGAAACCAGAAGTTTACATACACTGTATAAAAAGGCACATAACCATTTAAAAAAAGTCAGATGTGACTAAACTTTTTCTCTTTTAGGTAAGTTAGGATTATCACGTGTTTGTTTCTGTTATGCTTAATAGCAGAATAATGAGAGAGATATTTTATGAGAAATTGGTACGACTTTTCTTGAAAGTCAAGTTTACATCCAATAAGATTATTATCCCTCTGAAAAAGCTCATATGATGGCGTCAAGGTTTCTTATTGGCTTATTGGCATTCAAGTTAATTGGAGGCACAACTGTAGAATAGTATTTAAGGAAAACCTCAAACACACTGCTCCCTTGTGTGACAACATGGGGAAATCAACAAGCCAGAATGGGGGCAGCAGCATGTGGGGCTGTTTTGTTGCAGGAGGGACTGGTCCACTTCACAGCATAGATGGCATCATGAAGAAAAAACATTATGCAGACATACTGAAGCAACTTCTCAAGACATCAGCCAGGAAACTTGGCCACAAATGGGTCTTCCAAACAGACCATGACCCTTAGCATACTGCCAAATTAGTTAAAATGTGATTTAAGGACAACAGAGTTAATGTTTTGGAGTGGCCATCACAAAGCCCTGATCTCAATCCTATAGAAAATTTAAGGGCAGAGTTGAAAAAGCTTGTGCGAGTAAGACAGCCTACAAATCTGACTCAGTTACACCAATTCTGTCAGGAGAAATAAGCCATAATTCCTGCAAACTATTGTGAGAAGCTCGTGGAAGGACACCCAAAACATTTGACCAAAGTAATACAGTTTAAAAGCAAAGCTAAAAAATTCCAAGGAAATGTATGTAAACTTTTGACTGTCTAGAAATTAATAAACTATAAAAATTAAATAAAAGAAAAATAAAATAATTCTCTCATTATTCTGGCATTTAACAAATGTAAATCATTTAGGTAATTCTAACGAACCCAACGTTTAGTTAAACGTTTAGTATAATTTAACATCAGACATTTAAAAAAAAAAATGGTTATGTTCCTTTTCTTAGCGTGTATGTAAACGTCTGTTTTTAACTGTATATAAGAGATTAAATTGCCACGATATTTCTCCTCGAGGTGAAAAGTTGTCTCGTGAGTTGATATTAGCATGATGGAGCTGGAAGGTGAAATTAGCATTGAAGATTAGAAGTATTATTGAATTTGAACCGCAAATCAAGTGCTTTGCACACACCTGGCAAGGATGGCATTTGTGTTGCCTGTCACATGGTTCAAGTGACCCAAGTCTACACAAGGACTAAAAAAAGCTTTTATATTGTCATGTAGCATAAGCATGTTCACGTGAAAGAAGGAGAGCACAACATTCGCCACGTAACCAACATAATATAATAATGTTGCACACATCATGTGCAGAAATCAGGCCATGGACATTACATTAAGATGCCTACTGGTTTAAAAAAAAGCCTAGATTAAGAGAATATGGCAAAATGAGAGTGTTTCTGTCATAAACTATAGCAAAACAACTTGTCAAAAATAAAATAAAATAAGTAACCATGCGAACAGAATAAATACAGGAATGGAGAAATGAGCGCTCTTTTATTATCAGCTGTCAGTCAGCGCCCGCTCTTTTTTTTCCTGGTAATTGCCCTTTTGCCGTGTGCTGTGTAAAAGCAGACCATCGGATACAAGTCACCTTTAAAGAATGACAAATGTATGCAGGCCATCAAAAATAAATAAATAAATAAATAAAATAATCGGATACTGTCACAAAATCCGAATTGACCATCAAGATCTGCAATGAAATTCTTTAGGGGAAAAGCCACTCAGTAGAGTTTGCTATTTTTCATTTAAATATTAACAAATATTTTGCAATGTTTGCTTGTTCATTGAGTAGAATTCAATATAAACTAATATAAAACTATTACATACATACAATTATGGGAATGATTATGGGAATTACATACATTAAAAAAAGGGAAGTAAGTTCATTACAAGTTAATTTAAATAAACACTTGTTTTGCATTTTGTGATTTTTTTTACAATAAAAATCTATTTTCCATTTATATTTTAGCAAAATATTTGAATTCTAAGACTATTTATTCATAGGTTTTATCATTAAGTATTTCTTTAAAAGAGTGTATTTCTCATCTCATTCTTGTGGACCCAATCTATTGTCTTGTATGGTTCTGTATACATATATATACAGTTGAGGTCAGATTTTTTTTTCTTTTTCAAATATTTCCCAAATGATGTTTAATAGAGCAAGAACATTTTCACAGTATGTCTGATAACATTTCTTCTTTTGGAGAAAGTTTTATTTGTTTTATTTCAGCTATAATAAAAGCAGTTTTAAATTTTTTCAAAAAACATTTCAAGCTTAAAATTAGTAGCCCTTATAAGCTATTTCTTTCGATATTCAACAGAACAAACCATCGTTATCCAATAACTTGCCTAATTACCCTAACCTGCCTAGTTAACCTAATGAACCTAGTTAAGCCTTTAAATGTCACTTTAAGCTGTATAGAAGTGTCTTGAAAAATATCTAGTCAAATATTATTTACTGTCATCATGACAAAGATAAAATAAATCATTTATTAGAAATGAGTTATTAAAATTATTATGTTTAGAAATGTGTTGAAAAAATCATCTCTCCGTTAAACAGATATATATATATATATATATATATATATATATATATATATATATATATATATATATATATATATATATATATGTGTGTGTGTGTGTGTGTGTGTGTGTGTGTGTGTGTGTGTTTTGTTTAAAAATGTATTAATAACTATTTAAATAATGATAAAAATTTGTAATTAAAAACAAACCAGCATGAGAATATCAATGAAACCTACTTTGCTTTTGCTTCAGCATCTTCACAGCCTTTGTTGGAAACATCTTCCAGACCTCCGATCAGATGTTTGTAAGAGCTGGAGAAAAAATAAAAATAGCTTAATGAGAAATAAACTGACATTCAACCTGTGAACCTGCTTTGACACAATCTACATTGTAAAAGCGCTGTAGAAATAAAGATAAACTGAATTTAATTAAATTGAGCTTTTTATTGGGGGAGGGGGGTATTCTTTTATTTATTTTACTTCTGGAGTAAGTCTTATTCGTTTTATTTCGGCTAAAATAAAAGCAGTTTTATTTTTTTTAAAACCTTATAAGATCAATTAACCCTCTTAAGCAATTTGTTTTATTGATTGTCTAGAGCAGTGGTTCTCAAACTGTGGTACGTATACCACTAGTTGTGCGCAGGCCTCCTTCTAGCGGTACGCAGAGGAATCGCTAAAAATTAAAGTAACAAAATAAACACTTTTAACCCTTTGATGTGCACAAAAACACCGATGTGATCAGTAAATCGATCTTAATAGGCTAAACCTTTTACTTTATTTTAAATTTTCTCACGTTTGTTAGGTATTCTATTGTTTGAAGCTAATCACCTCCCTATATTTGTAACTGTTGTTGGACGCGTATCCCGTATTTTTATATGCCAATGTTGACAGGTATGGTTTTACTTGCTTTTCTGACACGCAAAGCCTTCTCTAACAAGCAGTAAGATCTCATTTCTAATTTAAAATGTCAATCCAATTCTTATATATAAAATATTAAGATGTATAAATAAGTAATACGTACATGCAATATATGTTTCAAAATGTATCAAAAAGAGTTTTTGAATGAATATGATAACATATAGACTTTATTTATGAGATCCAAGGAACATTTCCAGGTTTTGATGAATAGCTTACTATATGTTAGTACTTTACATTTAGGTACAGCAGTTTTCTTTTGACTTTATAAGAACAGTGCCATTTTTAATTAACTTTTAGAAGCATTTATTTATTTTTTTGCTATTTTTTTACGAGCACAGTACAGTGTTAATGTTGAAACTATTTATAATGTTTAAAGTGTCTGACAATAATAAATATTCATAATAATAGGAATTAATCTACCATGTTTTTGAATTGTGCAGAGCTGTAGCTGCTTAATTAGGCTCACCACACTTCTGTATTTCAATACCAGAGAGATTATGGTGGTACTTTAACCATTTTTTTTATTTTGAGGTAGTACTTGGTGAAAAAAGTTTAAGAACCAAACTTTTCAAACTGTGGGGTGCGAGACATTGAGCTGTGCACTCGAGTAAATTATGATGACGATATCTATGTGTTCACTAGAGGGAATAATATGATTAACTTTAGCTCCACAGCTCATTACCAGGCACCTGTAGAGTTTATGCATTGCATTCCAGTAAAATATATACAAATAAAATGGACCAGGTGCTTTTTAAAACTAATGATGGTGAATGAATGAAAGTAAAAGCGGTGAGCTGTCTGACGAAAAAGTGCTCTTCTGAATCAAATCAGCCGGATGCCCATCAGGATCTTTCACTTACTTTGAAGACAGTACTGACTACGTTTACATGGACATCAGTAATAGTTATTTGTCTTAATCTGAATAAGACAATAATATAATTACAAAAAGTGCTTTTTGAATGTTGTATCACCAGGCTATTCACGTTTCCTGCAGAGTCTCGTGTAATTTTGGGTGTTTCAACATCAATTTCTCAACTTCAACGGCAGTTTAACTTTCACTCATGAACATTCCATTCATGCCCCTGTGACAAACTGGGGTATTTGATGCGAATATGAAGCACTGGTGGAGGAGTGTTGTTTTTATTGATACCGCACATATAATGGTAAGAAAAAACTACCGCATTTCGTTATGAGTGTGTGTGCGTGTGCGGTCCTTTAATGACAGCAGCGTGTGTGGATCTTGTCACAAAATACGGCAAAATGTCCTACATGATAGTAATAGTTTGATATAGTTTCAATATTGCCACTAATATATGCATACTCCACGTCTTAAATCCATTTTTGTTTAGTTCAGTTATGACTTTAGCTGGATTAAGGTAATTAAAAATCGCTGTTTACATAGTGACTCTGAATCAGAGTATTGTCTTAATCGTATTAAAAAATTGTTGCCCACGTGAACATAAGCAATGTTCGACTCAACCACACCGTCAAGGCTCTGCAAACGCATTTTCTGTATGTATGTACATCAAAAGCAGGTATGCTACGGCTCATGCTTATTGACAGTGGAAGACGATTTCCGGTTAGTCGTGTCAGGAATCCGACCAAAGATTAGCATGTTGTCCTCAGAAACAGCCTCAGCCATCACACTGAATCAGGTAAGCTGTATATTTATATTTCAATGTTATTAATTCTATGCACTTTAAATGCAGCAAGTAATATGTTGATGATGTTTGCACATGCATTAAGGCTCAATGGAGGGGTGCCTGTGGGGGCGCAAGTGAAATTGGACTAACTTTGTTGGGGGGGGACAAACAAAACAAACCATTGTTATACAATTACTTGCGTATTAACTTAACTTGCCTAATTAACCTAGTTAAGCCTTTAAATGTCACTTTAATCTAAATACTAGTAGCTAAAAAAATATCTAGTAAAATATCATGTACTGTCATCATGTCAAAGATAAAATAAATCAGTTATTAAAACTATTATGTTTAGAAATGTGTTGAAAAAATCTCTACGCTAAAAAACAATTGGAGAAAAAAAATATACATGGGGGCTATTACTGTAATTCATGACGGCTTATAAATCTGACTTCTACTGTACCTCATATGATTGTTAATAAATATTTCAAATCTCTTTTGTGAATTCAGGAAGTGTATGTAAAAGAAGCGGTGCTCAATGAGTCAGCTGTCAGGCAGAAACGAGAGCTACATTTGTTCTCTCTCCAGCTTATGGACACACGTGATGCTTCAGCTATTTAGGTTGAGCTTGATTTATAGACTTCTATAAGCACTTCAAACCCACAGATTCTGTGTGTCCCTCACACACACACACAAATAGAGTGATCAGTGTAAAATCCTCAGACGTTCAATGAAATGGAAAACCTGGACTGAATGACATCTGCTGGAATGTCAATGGCACTTGGCGTATCTAAAGAAAGGGCAGTAGAGTATAAATGCAATATAAACTCACTCTCTGTCTATCACAAGACAGGTGACGGTCTCTGCTGCGATGACGTTTGCCGTTCTGATGTCCTCCCTGTTTAAAACACAAACACACACACACACACACACACACACACACACACACACACACACACACACACACACACACACACACACACACATACACAGATACAGAGATATCATCAGATAAACATCATATTCATCAAGATTGCACGATCAATAAACTGCTTTAATTCATGTTCTGATGATAATAATCACAGGTAAAAAGATCAACAGGTATAGTAAAATTAAATGAAATAACTGATTTTAACAGTGTTCTGATATGTTCAAACTGACAGAATTAAAGGATATAACATTAATATTAAAAACTGAAATTATTGACAATTTATAATAAATTCACAGACAGCTCAACAAATTATATATCTACATCACCTTAAATGAAAGTGTTAGGTTAAATATTGATGTATATCACACAGGGTTTTGCAGATTTCATCAAGTTAAATTTAAGACTTTTTTAAGACCTTTTGAATGAAATTTTAGACTTCTTCAGGGCTAAACGCTAAGAATTTTTCAAATATCCAAATTTTCACTTGCCCTATCAAAAAATGATTATAATTTAATGCAGTTAACAATACAACAATAATTACAATTTAATAATAAAAATGTATAGGTCAGGTCAGCATCCTCAGCAGTAAATAAATGCACTCTCAGAAATAAAGGTACACGAGCTGTTACTTGGGTGGTACCTTTTCAAAAGTTACAAATTTGTACCTTAAAGGTCCACATTAATACCTCAAGGGTACATATTCGTACTTAAAAAGTACAAAAGTGTTCCTCTTAAATTTTTTAGGTAATAATATACACTTTTGGTGTATCAATATGGACCATTTAAGTACAAAAGTGTACCTATTGAAAAGGTACCACCCCAGTGACAGCTCGTGTACCTTTATATTTTAAAAAACAAATGTTACACACATACTGTACTGTTTGCTATGGAATGAAAAAACTTTGAAGCTCAATATTTTAAAATCATTCAGAATGCAGATAGAACCTTATAATTCCAAGGTGACGTTATTGTAAGGAAAATAATTAAACCAATATTGTAAATAGAGCTCAAAATTAAAATGGTTTTAAAAATAAAAAGGTATATTGAATTAGATTGTTGGTGATTGTATTGGTGTTATTGGGGCCTAAGTTTAAAGACTTTTTAAGAACTCAAATGTAGCTTTTGAGATTTAAGACATTTTCAGACTATTTCAGACCCTGCAAACACACTGTTACAGTAGGGAATGTTAAAAACTGTTCATGAAAGATGATCTTTACTTAATTGATTATCAATGACCCATACAATGTAGATTTGGCAGTTGTCAACTATTATTTCAAATATAGCAATATTAAAATATTCAGATCAGTTAAAAAAAATGAATGTTCATAACTGATTATTTAATATTATGTTTTGATCTATTAAAATCATAATAGTATAGGGGACAAAACATAAAAAATAATTATTAAATTAATATAATAAACAGAAATCACTGATAATTTATAACAAATTCACAGAAAGCTAAACAAACATGTGCTAAATTGCTAAAATAATAAAATAAAAAAATAAAAACAAACGATATAACTAATTATTTAAGTAATGTAATGCTTTTGATCAATTCAAAATCACAGAATTATATGGGGAAAACATAGTAAAATGTATTATTATATTAATATTAGAAACTAAAAAATTATAATACCTGTACACAGAATTCACATAACAATATAAAAATATTAAAATAAAAAAACATATAAAAAAATTATTTATAAATTATAAATAAAAATAACAGACAATTAATTATACATTCTCAGACAGCTCTTCAAGTAAATAAAACAATGTTAAAATATTACAATCAATTAAAAAATGTATGTAAAGAACTAGTTATTTTAAATGATGTTAACATTAAAATAATTATATTATTATTATAAACATAAATTATTGCCAATTTATACAAAAAAAAAATGGATTGACAAACACATATAGCAATGTTAAAATATTACAAGCTGTTTTAAAATAATAATTGAATTACATTTGAATAATTTCATCAATTATTCAAAATGTTTTAATATATTCAAAATCACACAATTATAGATAAACAGACATATTAATAACATTTAGTGACTACAATAAATGTATTATTTTAAAATAAGCAAAAATAAAGAAATCAATTTAAATATAACCTGATATTCACAGACAGATAAATCAATAAAAATATCATACATGATAATGATTTATAAATATACAACTTGTGGATAATTCTGATGCACAAAAATCACAAATAGGACACCTTTACGAGGTAAATATTTGGATTTTTAAATGTTTACAAAGCTCACATGCATTCTCGACACTTGCTGACAGCTTGATCTTTACAATCGGCAACATATTATAAAATAATAATAACAAAATGTAGTCTACAAATTCAAGTGGGAGTTTGCGATTTTTAAACAATAAAGTTAACACACTTTACATGCATTCTCAAAACTTGCTGACAGCTTTATCTTTTGAATTTGGCAACATATAAAAAAAAATACAAATAAAATGTATTTTACAATTTCAAGTGGTCATGCCTCAGAATTTGCGGATTGTCCTCTTCTTCACTGTCGCCCCAATCGCAGTCATCCGAGTCTGAATCCCACTCTGACCTCATGATGCTGTTCACTGACCGTCAGCTAAACTCACACATATACCACTTTACAGCGCGATACACGCACACATAACCCACTACAGCACAATACACTCCTGCTAAAACCACAACCAGCGCTCTGTGACATCTATCCCATCACTGGCAGATCTTCCCCAAACTGAGAAGAGCTGGACGCTGGACACCGAACACACACCTAAACACACACATGTGCCGGCAAATACTGCCACACACACAGCCGGATCCATTTCCAGCGATGCACACTTGTACTTGCGGAGGTGAGAATTCTTCACAACATGTCGGCTCTAAAGCTGTCAGCACACCAATACACAATAACGCTACTGCAAAGGTCACAGCTGCTCCGCCATATTATTGAACACAGATCTGTCAGCATTCACTCAATACAGACGAGCTGCCTCCTTACAGGAAACACCCAGATAAATGTGTAGATTGTTGACATTTGTTTTGGTTTGCTTTTTCCCTTAAAGCAGGGGTGTCAAACTCAATTCCTGGATTGCTGAAGCCCTGCACAGTTTAGTTCCGACCCTGCTCCAACACACTTACCTGTAGGTTTCAAACAAGCCTGAAGGACTCAATTAGTTTGATCAGGTGTGTTTAATTAGGGTTGGAACTAAACTGTGCAGAGCTGCGGCCCTTTTGGAACTGAGTTTGACACCTGTGCCTTAAAGGGACTGTTCACCCAAAAATTTTTATTTAGTCACTTACTGTACTATTCCTATTGTTGGTCCAATCAAGGGCGTAGTGGATATTTTAAAAGTGTGTGTGTGTGTGGGGGGGGGAAGAAACTCAAAAGTTCACATTCTTAATCACCTGTTTCTAAATGATCCGTCTCTAAAATTGAAGAGGATGTATCCCCCCGTCCCCCCTAGTTGCTACACCCCGGGTCCAATCCTATATGGTCTCCTTTTGTTTCATTATAAGTAAATATCATTTTTTAAGTCTTGAATGTGGTTTATTGTGTGATTCTGGACCACAAACCCCATCATAAGTGTTATTTTTATTTTAAATACATAATTTGCATTGATGTATGGTTTGTTGTAGGACAATACCTGGCTGAGATATGACTATTTGAACACCTGAAAACAAATTAAGTTCTTAATGCACATTACTACGTAAAAATGGAGTTTGGTTACACTTTATTTTAAAGTGACGTAGTTACAGGGTCACTATTTATTTAGCTACTGAGTAATATTCATTAATTACATGTACTTACTATATGGTTGGGGTTAGAATTTGGGTTAGGGTTAGAGTTAGTTACATGTAATTATGAATAATTCATACAGTAATAAATAGTAAGTGTATAGATGTGTAACTGTCACCTAACATTAAGTACATGTACATTGTACAAGTGTAACTGTTACCTTGAGTTTTGAACATTCATTCATTTTCTTGTTGGCTTAGTCCCTTTAATAATCCGGGGTCGCCACAGCGGAATGAACTGCTAACTTATCCAGCTAGTTTTTAGGCAGCGGATGCCTTTCCAACTGATCTCTGGGAAACATCCACACACACATTCACACACACACACACACTCATACACTACGGACAATTTAGCCAACCCAATTCACCTGTACCGCATGTCTTTGGACTGTGGGGGAAACGAGAGCACCCGGAGGAAACCCACACGAAGGCAGGGAGAACATGCAAACTCCACACAGAAACGCCAACTGAGCCGAGGTTCGAACCAGCGACCTTCTTGCTGTGAGGCGACAGCACTACCTACTGCGCCACTGCCTCGCCTGAGTTTTGAACAATAGGAGGAAATTAAAAATATATATTCATAGAAGATGAATATGAATATGCTTCTATTCACTGCTAGGGCACTATTGGGTAAATTGTCATCTTATATTCGTAACGTTTTATTGTATTACACAAGTACACAAAATTCTTATTAATGACATTGAACTGTTCCAAGAGTCTGTATATGGAGTTTGGTAAAACAGCGTTTTCCTCCTTTGGCCCTATGTACATTAGTGAATGAAATGCAGTGTGTTATTATTATGCTAGAAACATCACAACTCTGAATATTTTTGAAAGTCTTATCTGGAAGAATCATGTGAATGTTTTGTGTAAATTTTAATACGTGACATTTTAAGTGTGGCTAATTTTGTTTCTAAAAACTTTTTGTGCTGCCATTTTGGCCAGAACCCCCTGGTACACTGAAAAAAATTATTCAGAGATGATTTCTTGGATTTACTCAATTTGTTTTTTTAAGCGGCTGTAAACAATTTATTTGTGTTGAGTTTAAACAAACAAATTAAGTTGAACATTATTAAACTTAATTTGTTTGTTGAAATTGAACACAATTAATTTGTTTGCAACAGTTTTTCATGCAACACTTTTTTCAGTGTAGAAGAGATGCATATCT